GCTTTGCCCTATTTTCATCCACTGGGGTGAATGCCAGTACTCTGCGCGGTAGTCTCTCTCTCTCTCGTCGGACTTAATTTCAATTAAACACGTGCGTTTTTCTCAAAAACAAAGTCGATTATAACGATAATGATATCGATTCTGATGAAACTCTCGTATAATTGTTGCACACATGGTTTTTACAGCTAATTCTTTCATTTTACGTCAAGGTTTAGGTGAAGTCCAATAGTTGATGTACTGATAATAAATAGAAAAATAAACAAAAAAAAAAATAAAATAAAAATCAGAAAATCATAAGCATGAGTTGGAGTGGCGTAAAAACTCATTAGATGATCATTAAAACATCGCGACTAATATTATTTTTATTTTAAGTGCATGCATAAAAATATAATTAATTAATTTAACATCTTAAACGTGAATTTCCCTTCTAACCGCCTACCAAATCAGCGCCCTTTCTTTCTTGTTTTCTGACCCAACCCAGTATATATATATAAGTAAGTATGTACGTAATTGAAATATAATAGCTGCGTTCGTTGAGAAATGTGAGTAAAAATTAGACAGGAGCAAAACTGAGAGAGTAAAATGTCTTACTTTCCTCAAGAAAATAGTGAGTTTGCACCGAACAGTATTCAGTAAAATTTAGTCAGTAAGTTCAATAACAGTTTTTTATTTTCGCGGTCAAATTTGAATTCGTTCATTTATGCAGGCTAAGTATTTTCTAAGTATTTTAATAAATTTGCCAACTATATAGTATTTTTAATTTCTTAATTGTATTTAAAATTTTACAACAATGATGAAATTCTGCATGCCCTACAGCCGTCCAAAGATAAAGATACCAATATGTTTTTCTAAAAGTCCTCTAGAACTTCGAAAATTTATGTAAAATTTGCTTTGCAGCAATCTTTGGACTTTCAAGAAGGATCACTGAAATACGAAAATGAGTTAAGCCAAACAAGAGCTTTATTTTTCCTTCTAAACGCCACTAATATATCATTTTTTCCATCATTATTGTCTCCGGAAGCTAAAGGATTCAACCTTGCTTGGCTATGTTTTGTGGTCATTTAGTTGATACTGCTTTCTAGTAAATTATAGAAATCCACTGCCACCGCATTCTCATTTAATATGTACCTTAACCATTTAATTAAAGTTGAGTTGATTTCATAAAATTTATTTTAAAATATGCATTCGGGCACTTATTGTGTTACTGTATCATTCATATCAAAGTATTAATAATATATTAATTTTAAATCAATTTTGTTTTCTTGACAAAAACTCAATCATATGATCACAAATCAGCTGTTTTTCATGCTTGCTAGTTTTCACTGGGTCAAATTTTCACAACACGAATTTGCAACTTCCTCTCCAAACCAAACGTCAAAATTGCATTCTCTCGTTACTAATTTCACCGGGTTTTCGGCTCAACGAACACAATTCAGTAAAGTTCAGTCAAAATTGCTACTGCCCATCTAAACGCCGAACAGAACTAATATTTTTGCATTGACGCGCAATTAAAAGTGAAATAATAAAATTAATGGAAACAATTAAGATTGCACAGAAGAGTAATTGGGTTTGAAATCGATTTAGCAGCCAATAAATATTTGAGTTTAAAATGCAAATTTACCTTTCAACGAAACTCGTAAAAATTCAATCAAAACAGTTACGTTGCGCTGGCGCTTGCACCTTATAAGGGGGGGACAAGTTATTTGAATTGTATAAAGATACATTTTTCAATTCTAATTAATATATTTATTTTTTGGAATAGCAGCAGCTTTCACTATTGAAACATTTGTTATGGTCGGTATGAAATTGGTTTATAAATACATATATTTGGACATAACTAGGGGGAGCGTCACTAAAGAAGAATTGCCATAATAAACCTTTGGAACAGGTGCATCGTATCTGTATATTGGGTATAATCCGAGATTCTTGCAGTCATAAACAACATTAATTTTCAATTAATATATGAAGAAGCGCTGACAAACCGCCGCCTGAAAGTCCTTAGCAATGGGATATAGTCACCTGACTATGAAGAAGTTAGCCGCATATAAAAATATTTGACAGACCTTTCTGGAGCTAAACGTGTACACCAACGGGAAAGGAAAATATTATGCCACATAAAAGCCAACAACTTCTTCACAAGCACAGAAGAAAGGGTGTAAGGCAGACCCATCGGTGATAAACAGGCACAGCAGCTGTGAAAACATGTAAAGATATAATTAGTAGACAAATGGGAGAAAACTCAACGAATATCACTGCCATGCGGGATTGAGGTTAAAGAATTTACCCGTGGCACAATATGACTGTCACAAAACGTGCCTATAATAAAGGAGTTCCCACAACAGTTGGGTCTTTATACCGGAACGATTTTTAACCGATCCCTCCTGAAACATTTGGATATGGAATACTTCTACGACTACAACAACAACAATAATAAATACCAATTGGATAGTGAGACGACGCCGTTGGCTGGGCCGTTATTATCGACTGCCTTAGGACCTTTCAACGCCTTCAAATGTTGTTTTAAGATCCATGACCATACCAAGAAATTATTGTGGGACACCATGGATTGCCGGTAGACCGAATCTATATCTATATTAATCAAATTATGTATATTCTGAAAGATGCGATATATATTATTGGCGCTTTATAACCACTGAGCGATTTCCGGCCGAGCTTCTCCTGTAATTGGTGGCGCGCGTCTTGTGATGCTTTTTCAATGAATGAAGGAAACTACAGTTTATACTACCACGCTTCCATGGGCGACCCCAATTAGAAAATTTAACTTAATTCTTTATTTTAAATTTTAATTAAATATTGAAAGGCGCAGTTCGTGCACAGGAGATGACGAGACGCTGGTACATTATCTTGGCCAGTGTCCGGTCTTTAGCGGACAGAGAGCTCACAGCAGCCTAGCGAGCTAACTTTAACTCGCATTTCAACGACACTTTTGTCCACGGAGTGAACTGTAGTACCGGAGCACATATTTTCTTCCATCCTTGTCACGTCCAAGGCAACTCCAGACTGGCGTTGATGTCAATTTTGATATTTCCGAAAACATCAGCATTCGGACATTATGGATATAAATATGTTCTTAAAGCATAGCCGTTACGAAAATTTAGCGCTGTCCGAGGCCATTGAATTCTTTTCATCGATTTTTTGCTTAATTGGTCGGCTTATAACCCAACTGATGGACTTACATTCTGAGGGGTTGACATTCAATTAATCATTAATCTTCCCAATTAAGCAATTATAGCCGAGTTAACAAAATTGCGCCAGAAGGTTACTTCTGCCACTTCTCAATGGGGTGGAGATATTGCTCTTTCTCAGCTCAGCCGGACTATATGACCTAGTCAGCGTAGTTACTTCGCTGAACTAAGTCAATATCTGATGACTGTTTGTTTGATATTTCGTCTTGTCGGCGTTCAGCACTACAGCCTTACGCTTTGCATCTTTATCAAGTCTGGAGAAAGCAGGGCCAACGGAGAGGTTGTTAAGCCCTATGATATCAATATCATCGGCAAACGTCAGTGATTGTATACACTTATAGAAGATTGTACCTTTTCTATTCAGCTCTGCAGCTCGTATTATTTTATCCAGCAATAAACTAAGAAAGTCACACGATGAAGAATCGCTCTGTCTGAAACCTCTTTTGGTATCGACGGGCTCGGAGCGGTTCTTCCCGATCCTGGCAGAGCTTTTGATGCTGCTTAAGGCCAGTTTACATAGCCGTATAAGTTTTGCGGAGATACGGAATTCAGATATGGCGGCGTAGAGGCAGCTCTTATTCGTGTTGTCGAAAGCGGCTTTAAGTGGTATGTTTCGATCCTCTTTTCACGCGTCGTTATCAAGATTTGGCGCATGGGGAATATTTGATTATTGGTTGATTTTCGGAATTAGATCTGATAATGCATTTAAATGCGTAGCAGGTCAAGATACTGTGGCTACAATATGTACGATATAGAATAGCAGAACTGGTTCTATGACGAAAATAGGTTGTAAACAACACATTTAATTATATTATTATAACGTATAAATTGAAAACTCTGAACTCTCACCGCATATCATCAATATCAATTTCAATCAAACACTCATAAAAATCAAAAATTATTTCCAAAAGTCCAGTGATGCTTACTTGCATATTCCTAAATTGAAGTAGCAGTCACCAGTATTGCATGTACGAGTATATAAATATTATTATGGTGTACGAGTATATTACGAATAAAACGCGTTAAATTGGTATTGGTATTGAGTTTAATTAAATGCTCGTCATAAAATCCATAATAATGGTCAAGTATATTGTAGAATAATTAATTCTTGCAAACAACAAAAATATCAAAATAATTTTTGCATAAAATTAAAAGTAACCGGTTTTGTATTATTCAGCAAAATCGTCAATCCCAACTGATAATAATTACGATGTTTTTAAACAATTCAAAAAATATGACAAACAAAAATTACTCATTGGAGTGCAATAGCCGCAGGGCACAGCAGCGCGTACGAGTGTCCACATCATTCACGTGCGCCGCCCGATTATCCAGTAGTCACATTTCCCAGCTACTCACGCATTGCGAAACTCAAAATGTGCTCCAGTTTAATGACCCTGCGCACTTCATTATAGTCGGGTTTGTGGAATTTCGTTATCAAATCTTACACATATTTAATGCAACGTTATTTTGTCATATTAAGAGTTCAATTTTGACAACTTGTTCATGAGTCAGTTGAAAATGTCATAAACACATTGAACGCGTTGTGAATTGCAAGGGTCAAATTCGCGCCTTTCACAAGCCGTTAACGCACGTCTGGGGTTTGCGGATGAACTCATTTACTCTGTTGTTTGCAAATTTGAATGGAAAAAGTGCATTTAATTCGTTGGGAAAATTACGAATCATTAAAAAGGTTATTGGCTCACAATTTCGCTGGCAGGCAGTGGAATTAATGCCAAACAGTTTAATTTCTTCAACCTTAACAGGCTCTGGGAGACAGTACTAACATGTTTATTTATGCAGTTTCGAGCAAACAAATATGAAATTCGCTTCAAAATTATGTAATCAGACTTGCGTGGATGCTAACCTAAGGCGTTGGAACAGCAAACGAGGACTGATGCCTTCTGACTGCACAGTTGAAATATTTATAGCGGAAGACAGCGGAAACCCTTTTGCATTGTGTGACAGTTTCAAATTTGTGGGCGAAACGAAAAATGACGTCTTTATGATGACTTTAATATTTTTTTGAAATTATTTACTGCAAAAATTTAAAAGTCATTTTCCATTTAAGTTTAAAGAAATTGGAATTGAACTCTGTAATGGTCAGCGCCTGCAAGAAAGTGAGAGTTGTTATAATTTTTGGCATTGCGTTGGCGTCGCTTATATGAAAAATTTCATTTTAGACGTCAAAGTCAATCCATCATGCAACGCAGCGCAGAGATTCTATCTGCTATCGGCTTAAACGAGTATTATGCACGTTGAGGTAGCTCGATTATTTAGTGTAGTAATTCATTATTCTTACAACAAATAGATATAGTGATCTGCATCTCGCGTTTTATAAGTGTAATTGGATTGCGTCAGTTGGCATTAGAAAGTTGATATTTTGTGCAATAAAAAATAATGGGAAAAGTGTTGAGCACTTAACTCGGTAGTGTTTGAGCCCAGGTCAAAGTTGGGCACCAGCAAAGAGAAAAGATGTTAATTCTACAACTTTTCTTCGATAAATACCAAAACGCAAGTTAGGCAGCTGAGAATGTGAATAGTGTTTATGGTCCCGATACTGTAGGAGTCCCTCATGCACAATTTTTTACTCAATGGTGTAGAAGATCAATTGTCAAAAATGTCGATAAAATAATAGTTAATTTGTACTGAATCCTGTTTGGTGAAAACTAAGTCAATTTCATTCCTTGCTGTTGCAACGCTGTTTGGTGAGAAATATCAGTAAAAATTACCCAGTAGCAAAATTTCAAAATTGCGCTCTCTCATTGGAAATCTTATTGGCTTTTTGCCTCATTGCATGCAGTTCAGTTAGAATTAGCTCACCGTACAGCACTAATATTTGTTAACTTTTATCTCACTATAAAACCGTTATATGTTTATTACAGAAAGCGCACATTTCACTTATTGTTGCCTTAAGAATAGTATCGAAATTTAATAAAAGAGTTATAAAGTTTACCCTTTATGAATTTTAAACATTTGATGATAAATATAGAATACGATTATTTATGCACCATTAATTTAGTTCCAGTATTTATAATAAAAATGCCAATGAAGTAGCCATAAAAATGTTTTATGTATGCGAAATTCCAATATCAAATACAGGTCTAATTAAACTTATTTAGCGTTTATAAAACCCGAGAGATCAAGCACGTAAGTATGTTTAAATGTTCTTTAATTGCTGCTTTATTTAAATAATCTTCAAAAAATTACTTTTGGCTTTGTCTATACCACTCTTGTACGCCGGTTTTTTTATATTTTAATTTTTTTTTTAATTTTTTTTATTTTTATGCAAATATCCAATTCTGTTGTGCCTGAGTTCGAAGTGTTTTTGCGCGTTTTACCACAAGGCATAAATCATTTCTAGATTTGTTTGTTTATTCTGCCAAAAATAATTCAAATATATGCAATAGTTTTTCGCATTTTAATTTGCCTCCTTCATTTCTAAATTATTACCACTACTCATTTGTACCAATTATTTGCATTTATTTATTTAATATTGTCAGAAATACCTTTCTAATGAACCAATTGATATTTTCAGCTTATCATTTGGTATTGCTTGACAAATCGTTTTCGTGGCAGAGATTAAAATTTAAGCTTTTATTTGGTGAAGAAATTGCTAAAAATACAAACAAATCACAAATTGAAGTTGAAAGTCTGTTCTTGAGTTAAATTTAATTTTCAACTTTTCACATTCAACATAGGGTTGTTCTCACTAAGCTTGTTCGAGGATAACTGCCTCCCTAGAAGCTTACACATGATCCCACGATTAACAGCAAATAATTTTGATAACAATTGAGGATGAGACCAGCGGGAAGTTATAGAACTCTTTCGTCGGATTTGTTTCATAAAATTGCACTTTTTTATATAATTGGCGCTTTGTGACAGTTGAAGGGATTTTCGGCCGAGCTCCTCCGCCGAATAGTGGTTTTCCGTCCTGATGTTTTTCCAACAATTGGAAGAACCTACATTTTATACTAAGTCGCCTTCGAACGGCAGATGGTTTTTTATGAGGAGCTTTTATTTGATGTAATAAATACACTCGGAGGGGCTGACAGTCTCCATCGAAGGGCGAACGCAATTTTATTTAAATTAATTTTCTAATTTTTATTTTAATGTTAACGGGATCGGGACTCAAACCCTAATCACTGTATTGATTTCAAAAGGAATGTATGTGAGTGTTCCCTTGTCATCAAGATAAATCTGTTTTAAACATTTTCTACCTGTTTGGAGATAAGGAACCATCATGGCTCAGTTTTTATATCCATTCCTTATTTAAATAAGTATTATGTTTTACTAAATGTGTTATTTAAATAATTGAAGTTTAAATTCTTAATCATCGCGTAATATTTTGCAGTATTTTCTTTTGTCTAGGTTTATCGATTGCCATAAACTTGCGATCGATTATGGGATAACTCAATTTTGTTTTTGCTAATGGCAATACTGCCAAATTCAAACCCAGAACAGCTGTTTGCAATTTGTTTACTTGGAAAACCGGCATTTAATAGCGCTTTTTGTATTTTTTGCTTATAATTTATACAATAAAAACATTAATTCAGCTAAATAAACATGAGGGATCTGAAATTGAAAATAATGTATAACAATGTGATTTCACAAGCGATATCGGAGTCTGGACGATTTTTGTTCGCCGGCAATCGGTTCGGTGATATATTTGTACAGGAGTAAGTAGGAAACCACTTAAAAATTCATTTTTACTAAGTTACTTCATTCAATTGCAGTCTTCATGATCTCGAGAAAACTGACACGCCACGCACAAAACTTCGTGTATTTCCACAACCTAACCAAACGGAAATTAACAGTCTCTGTTGTCACCGCGATTTTCTCATCGTCGGTGCCATTGGCGTTGTTTATGGTCTCTGTTGGAATGAAGAAAAACGTGAATTGAGTAATACACGTAAATGGGAAGTAAAAATTCCACTTGATGTAGATGCTGTTGAAGTCCCCGATGTGAACTTTTTATGGCTGCGCACAGAAACGGACACCCTCTATGCTGGTTGCGGTGACAATATGATATATCAAATCAATTTAGAAGACGGACGTATTTTAAGAGACTATCGTGGCCATACCGATTATATACATGGTCTAACAGGTAGTGAAAACGGCCGCATCTACTCAGCTTCAGAGGATGGTACTGTACGTTTTTGGTGTGAGAAACAAAAGGAACCAACTGCAAAGTTGGTACCCAGCGATAGTGCGAAACTTATGCGCCCTGAATATGGAAAGTGGATAGGCGCTGTGGCTACTAATGACGATTGGCTAATTTGTGGTGGTGGACCGAAATTTTCCATATGGCATTTGGGTACAATGGAGTGTATGCGTGACTTTGATTTCTCAGGTAAGGTGCACGTCTGCGATTTCGTTGAAGACAACCTGTTTGTAGCCGGTGAACATAGTCATGCACAATTTTATGCCATGAATGGTGATATACAGGCAAATATACCACTAGAGCATACTGCTGCCTACTCGGTTGTTTGGCAATTGGAACCGATTAAATTCATGTCCATTGCGGGTTATAGTAATAAATTACATATTTTAAATGATTTTCGTTTCTTAGATAGTAAAATTGATTTATATGGAAATACTGAGGAATAAGAAAACTTTTTAAAATAATTAATTTTTTTTAGTAACAGTGTTTTTTTTTCAAAAGGAAGGTAAAGCGTTTACTGCTTTATTTTCACAAACATCTTTCTGTATGAACATAATCTGGTAATCGTTCTTCCCAACGTTGTCGACAAATTTACAATCACCAAAAGCCAGCTCATTACTAGGAGTACAAAGGAAAATAAAATTTTGTTAAGTAGTTAGACTCCGTACATTAATATAAGTTTTTGTGTATAGTATTACCCCTTTGCTACGAAATTTTCCAGCATTCTAAGAAATTTTTGTGCAATTAATTGTTCATCGGGGCGTATTTTAGTTTTGCCCGCTCGATTAAAAATCAAAAAGAAGTCGTCACCATGCACAGTGCCTACAAAAATGAAATATTTGTAAAAATTATTTTCAGTATTCCTAACAAAACATTTATTGTATATAAACATACCCATTTTCACGTCCGAGCGATGTGATAATAACTCGCCTATACCCTCCTCTGCTGGATTGTCATACACATATGCATAGACTGCACTACTTGCATATTGACGATGCATACGTATCGCTTGTTGCACACCATTTCGAAACAGTACATCTGTGTACATGCGCTGCACATTCGAATAGGTATCAATTGAGAATTCCTTATCGCCCAGATACCGACGTTTCAATGCCACCGAATAATCATCCATCTCCTCTACACTATGCATTGTGTCTTTGTAGAACAAATTGTATGGCGCCAAGTCATACCAACGTTCATTAAATACTTCTATTAATTCCTCTCTACGCGGCATGCGTTGTAGCAATTCCGCAGCATTATAACCACCATCCTGCGCTGCATAGGACACCAACCAAGGCAATTGCGCGAAATCTCCTGCCTCGACTATTTGCTGAGGTGTACGCGTTAGGAATGCATCCACAACAGCGACATCTTCTATGCTAGGACCGAATGTGGTGAATGGATTATAACCAAACACAAGAAAATTTTGTACGCCACGCACAATGGCCTCCGCCGGCTTACGCTGTAAACATTCCTTAATCAACTGCGAACTGCTAACATCCGGACAATTCAAATTTTTCGCCAATTCTACAGCGCGTGAGCGAGTTTTATGCGTTATTGCCCAAGGATTGAAAGCAACACCACTAAAAGAGACAGCCACTTTGACATATTCTGCGAGATTTCGTTGCGCCAAAATGTGCAGATGCACAGCAACGCCGCCTGAAGAGAAACCCAGCAGCATAACCCGCTCGGCATCACCACCAAAATGTGCTATATTCGCCTTAATCCATTGCAATGCCAAACGTTGGTCTTTCATGCCGAAATTACCAGATATAATTGTGTCTTCAGTGCTAAGAAAACCCAGCGGGCCAAGACGATAATTCATTTTAACAACAATTACACGACCGTTATGCATAAAATTTTCATGACCATTGGCGCTTGCCGAGCCAAACATAAAAGCGCCGCCATGTATGAGCACCACAACGGGCAGTTTACCGCCCTCAGCATTTTCGACCGTCGCCAACTTTGGTCTATACACATTTACGGTGAGACAATCTTCGACGCCGTGCAATTTATCGACACCTGCTTTATACTGATCCCATTGCATGCATTCGACGGGCGCACGTGTAGCTTCGAATGTATCTGTCCAATTACGAGTAAACGGTCGTGGTGATTCAAAACGTAATGGACCAAGTGGTGGTTCTGCATACGGAATCGATTCATAACTGTAATAATAGCCATTGTCGCGTCCACGTATTCTGCCATTGGGTAAATTAACTATTAAGGCATTGTCAAATTGTTCTTCTCCGGTTATGGGATTTTGACAGAGTAAACTCAAATAGAAAACCGTTACGGACAAAGGCAAAAACTGTAGTTGCATCGCTGCGCGTTGTCCATTAATGACTGACCGAAATGTATTATACATGAATTAATTAGTGTGCGCCGTGTATACATACATAAATAAATAAATATGTATGTATTTGCGTAAATAATTTTTTGTTTCAGAGCTTACATACATACATATTTTTGCATCTTAAGACAAATAAGTATCAAGCGTGAGTTATGTGAGTACCATCGTATATACAAACTTTTATTTTCATAAGTACATATGCACATACGCACAGACATCTAATAATAACAAAAAAAAATATTAAACATACAAAAAATAAATTAAAAGTTAAAGTATTTGTCATGGTAAATTCAGTTAAACGATGTACATACATACATACATACATACAGTATGTGCCTATGTATTTATACAAAATTTTCTTATAAGAAAATATTTATTTAAATTAGAGCTTTTATTATCAGTAGTGAGAAGAAATGCGGTGTGCGGGTGCGTATTTAGAGTTTATGAAATATGTAAAATCTGTATATATATATGTATGTATGTACATTTCATTAACAATATTCATAAATATTTTTGATCTACATAATACGATTAAAATTGATAATAAATATTAAGTTTTTTTCTTTTGTATGAATAATAATATTAAAATATGTATGTGTATAATATGTACATACAGCCGTGAAAACGAAAAGAAATTGAGCTTAAAACATAAATTTGATAAAAAGGCGAAATTCCCTAAAAAAAAAAACGTCACTCGTGTAAAAGTACATGTACAGACATACATACAGTTTCGCTCAAAATGTTATTAATGCATTTCGCTCTTTATATAAAAGTGGTATCCATTTCTAATGACATCTTTATTTAAGGGGTAAAGCCACTCTAGAAGTTGAAAAATACACTCATTTCTTAAATTTATTGTAGGAAAATGCGAAAAGGAATAGGATTTCTATTTAACCATTTCATTGAATATATTTCATTGGAGCTGGTTTCTACGTGTATATGTATTGAAGTATAAAAAAATATTCTTTAATTATTAATTTGTTACAAAACGGCGGTGATAAATTCCATTATTTAATTCATGTTCCTTTTTTTTTTTGAAAGGCTTCAACGGCAGGCTAAATCCTAGAACAGAAAAGCAAAAAGTTTTATGATCTACAAACTAGGGTTTTTAGAATTTATTTTTTTTTTAACGTTTGCGTACTCAAAAATATATATTTGTGAAGCTACCATCAAAATTTCAGATAAATCGATGCAATGGGGTCCGAATAATATGCCCTCCCAGTTTGAAAAATGTGATTTGGAGAAAAACGCGCTTAAAGATTTCATTGTACTCAAAATAAAAAGTTGAGCTACTTGAAATATTTGTTCCAAAGGTACGCTGTGAGCAAAAAAAAAATTGCGCTCTCCAAAATCCTAAAGTGGCTTCACCCCTTAAGGCTGTAGTCTACTTTAAAGACTTCAAAAAATGTATTTTTTTTTCTTAAATCTATTTTAAAACTTCTTCAAAATTTCGATGGCCAGCTCGAAATATTTTAGAAGCTAGCGCAGTTTCAGTGGCCGAGCGTCGGGAAGGTTCAAACGCTCGGGGAGATTTTGAAGAGAAAAAAATTAATTCTTCAGCGCATAAATTTTCTGAATATCCAAAATATTATTGATTGCTTACTTTGTAATTCGATGTAATGCCATAAAGTATTTACAAAACCAAATAACAAAAAAAGTAGCAAAGAAAGTCAGTAAAGCCTCTAGCAGAAATGAAAGCCGCTGTGAGTTACTCAAAGCCTTAAGTGGCTGCTACTCAAAACGTGGATTCTGTTAATGTAACTGCGAGTGCTGAAACTTTTCACCGGCACTTGCGTGACGACGACGTCGGTGCACACAATTCAGTAAAAGCGCCGCTTTTGACTAAAGCGAATGTAGAATTTTAAGGTCAAGCATCGCAACTCAACCAGGTTAAGCAAGCAAAGGGGCTCAGCAGGGTGGTGTGCTCTCCCCACTGCTGTTTAAGTTTCATGTCTCGATACTCTCCTCCACCGGAAGGGGCTTACCTGATCTAATATGCCGATGATTGCTCGATATTGGGGTCTGGCCAGGATACTGATGGCTTATGTTCGAAAGTGAATTGCTACCTCGACAAACTTTCCCATTTCCTTCACTGCAAGACCATTACAACTACAAGCAGAAAAATCCTCGGCTTCCCTCTTCACCATCTACAAACAGCCCAAAGTTACTGGTAGTCCCTTTCGACAGCCTACACTCCTTCATTCCGCATACGACTGCAATTGCCACAAAACTCCAGAGCCGCAATAAAATCCTCAAAATGTTTGCCGGCAGCTCTTGGGGCAAAAATAAAGAAACGTTCATCTCTAGGGGTTAGGGATTCAAGAATTTACATGCAGTAGGGCACACCTATCGTAAGAGGCGACTAAAATACAATAGTTCCTCTGACAGTCGGATCTTTATACCGGAACGACCCGGATTTTTATCCGGTCAAGGACTGTCACTCTCACAACATTCCCAAAAAACTACTTTGAGTAGTCGCCATCAAAACAACAAAAGCAACTTAAAGAAACGTTGCTGGCAACTTACAAGGCAATTGGCTGGCTTGTGTTAAACTATGCTGCAACGCTTTAGACTTGCCCAGCGCAGCATCTATGCTACAAGTTAAGTATGGTGATTCCGCTAGGCACATCAGAAAGGGAGTAATCGAGCTTAAGGACTGTACTCAGCACCTCCTACAGCAATCGCTGGGCAGGGCGGCTTACCAACAGACATTAAACGCCATTCACCGGGAGTCCGTCAACATCCTCCTGAACTCTCTTCCAGTAAATGGCGTTCTCGGTGTCAAATCACCACCCATTGCAGACGCAGAGCTCAAGCCGCCTCGTGTGTGGCACAACTAAGATCTGAATATTGTATACGACTTAATTCCTGCCTACTACTAAACGGGGTTAGCAAACCGTTACAACAACAACAACATAGTAATCATAGAATATTATTTATTTTCTATCTATCCTAAAACCAATAATATTATATATGTGCATAAACTTTGCTATGTTTATAATATTATTTACAAAGAACCAAAAATGCATATAAAAAGAAAATAATTTTCATCATAAACTAAGTTTAAAAATGAATGCAGCTTACGATCGCTTGAACAGCTTCAAAACTATATTAAAAATAAAAAATATGCTCGCTTTTGGCATTCGCATGTATACTATATGTTGTACATATGTATTACTGAATTTCACTGTCGAGTGTCTTATCTCTACAGATAGACTCTGACCTCTACAAACATTTAACGAAAGTTTGTATAAAATTCAATTATGCACATCACGAAGACAAATTCATATGTTTGCACAGTTGTATGTAGGTAAAGTATGTGTATACAATACATAAATAAAACGCGTGAGCTCTCATATACATATAGATTATATGTATTAACTTTAGCATCACTATCAGGTTATTGTTCTTTTATCATGCATACATATTTTTATAAATATACATATATATATTTATATTTTTAAGAGACTTTGGATCTTATTGATGACTTTATTTCGGTTTGGCTTGGTAAATCATGCTGATTTTACACATGTTTTGCTCTAATCTACATCTGCATGCATACATACATGCATATATTAAAGGAACGTCGCTTTTAAAACAAATTCAAACACTTCTTCGCCTGCCGATAATTAATAAATTTTGTATATTATAGCGGTTAAACAATTTTTTTTTTGTAAAGTAGCGAAAGTAAATCATATATATGTATATATGCTATATATACAAGCGATAAGCAGCCAAACTTCCTAGCTTAACTTAAACGATTGTGAATGAACTGATAAAAAGAAATGTTATAAAATTAAATTGCTGATTTTTTGTTTACATAATCAGTTTGTATGAACTTTACGCTCACGATTATATCATTTATTACTTTGATAACAATATACGCTCATGCATACATATTTAATGAATAAAAAGTTTTTTTTTTAACTATGATACCGTGTAAAAAAATTGTTTCATGCATAAAATATGTATATGCGTAAATCGTTGGTTTTTTACATAAACTATACTTATTAAATACATTCATACTAACATTACAAACTCAAATTTAGTTCATTAACTTCAAAACTTATTGCGTCTTGCGCTTGTTGAGTCATACAATATAATGATCAAACATGGACAATGTACTCTACACGTTTTCATATACATACATAAATATACACATATATTAAAAATAAGAAAATTATGGTAATTAGAATGGTTATAAAACGGAAACGGTAGTAAAATAGTTATGCTGTTCAACTCACCTCCATCGACATATCATCTTACTGACCTTATTAACTCGACCAGATATGGCGATATGTAGATATTTAGTAACTAGAACTGCACACTTACTTATATATGTATGTGTGTGTATATTCAAAGATGTCAAACAATTAAATTATTTAAAAAAGAAAAATGTCAATGTATTTTTATTGTGAATTTCATTACTCAATTTTAAGAAATACATAAATATTATTATATTATTTTTATGAATTTCTACATTTCTAACATGTATTTTTATATGACTAAAGTAATTGTAGTTTATTAAAAAATAAGGCTAATAATGTAAATTAAAAAAAAAAAAGACTTAACCTCTTTGAAACATTTTTTTGTTTTTGGAAGATTCTATACAAGTCTGACTTAATTTAACTACTTGCTTTTATGCTGTGCACTTTTTTATTTCAAAATTTTAACTGGTTATAGCAACTTGCTTTAAATAAACTATAAACTAAAACTTTAATTTTTATTAAGCACTTTTTCACTCAAATTGTGCACAGTTTCTCTGAAAAAAAAAATTCGTTAATTTTTTTAGTCATAATTTATGACTTTTAATAGCAAAAATTACACAAAATTGGCACAAAATATTTCAAACTATAAGGTGACATGCACACGTCTGTACACCTACATATGTATATGTTTAAATGAATGTAATAATTATAATTTATTTTTCTTCTCTTTTTTAATTGAGTAAATAATATTTACTTTAATTGAGTATACTCGTAATACATATAAAATATACGTATTACACATCGTCTTGATTACAATCAGACCTTGGCTGTTAAGCCTTCCTTCGCACACTGCTTTAGTAATCTTAAAACAAATCTCATTGCTGATTTTTGCTTTTTTATATCGTATATGTATGTAAATATTGTGATACATACATAAATATACATTTACAAACTGCGAATAATGCACAAGTTAAGTTTAAAAATATCATTTATAAATGTATGTGAGTGTCTGTCGATTTTAAAAATTTCTCTCTTTATAACAATTGCAACCATTACACAAATCTGAAAATTGCCAATTACGATTATTTATAGGATTTTTAACAATTGCGCATAAGCAGGCGTCACCTTTTAATAGCTGGTATGATAACCACTGAAACACGTGAGATCTCGATCACTTGAACTCTATATTAGTTTACCGTTTTCGAACATATTTTTGATGTTATTTCCTAAATAACGTCTTGGAAAAAAGTACTGATCTAAAACAACTGAGCACTATGCCGGAATATAGGCTGAAAATTTAGTTTTCTTGCCATTTTAGCATTGCTCCACATATGCATATGCATTTATATGATTTTACCTAATATACATACAAATGTATATACACTTATATGTAAGTACATTTATACATAGTGTAGGTAATAAGGGCATACGGTTCAAAAAGAAAAAAAATCGTTTGAACTTTGTCCGCGTTTTAATCATTAAAAACGCAATGCATCAGTTAATGGGAAATAAGTTTATGGCTATATACATACATACTTTCACATGTTTATAAAACTTGTAATTGCTGGTCGCTGGCAAAATTTACATATAAATATGTATATATGTATGTGCATATGCGTAACATATTTATGTATGCAAACATAGTTGAATTACTTTGACTTCGAATCCGTTTTCGTTTCAGAGCCATACGATGAAGCTTTGCTGATTTTCGACATGTTGATTGATTTAACCATGAGAATATAAACTGGAGAAAAAAACACAATCAATTTGAATAACAAATACATAATAATAATTGCTAATAATAAATGAATTAGTTATAAAGAGTACTTACAGGTTACCAATACACCCACAGCAATCGAAAAGCCAATCCAGTTTTGTGCCAGTAATGATGATATCAAATAATAGAGTACAACCGTTACTGAAAATACTGCCCAGAGTGCAAAGTTGATTAAACTACATGGACGATATGGAAAAACTTTGACTGGCACTGGCTTCTGACCAGAAGCCTCAAAGAAATTGCCTGTTCTATGGAAGCTATCGATAAAACTATCCTTCTCCTTATACAAATTATGTAACCACTCAGCAGCCTCCTTTTCGCCCTCCGGCACCATTTCGAGTGGAATGCGACGTGCAAATAAATGACCCTCAACTGAATAACCATTTAGTAGTGTAGAGATAGTTGGATCGTTCTATAAATACGAAATATTAATCAAATATAAAAGATTTTAAATGAAATTCTCACTTACCTTAGCATCCTTTCTAAATGCCAAATTTGTATCATAAATGGCAGCACAACGACCGCGCATGGTGGGTAAACTGGTTGTAAAACCCTTTGTACGTGGTGTCAGGTGATGTTTTAACAAAGGCAAACCACGTTCCTCGGCGAATTTAACGCAAGCTTCATGTTTTTTCGGTGTAAAGCGTGTGCCCTCAGCGTTCAGTAACAACCATGTAGGGTCCGGATAGGCAAAAACCTCTTTCAATTGACGTGCAATAATTTCACTATCCTTGTCAAATGAACGTTCCAAAAATACAAATTCAGCAAACTTCCAAGCCCAACCCATTACTGGCACATACGATATGGCTTTCTTTGCGTAAGCTTTGCAATTGCCCAAACATTGGACTTTGTCAGCAAACATCCAACCACATAGCCAATCAATTTCATATGAGTGATTTTGTATAATCATTACATGCTCCTTGCCAGCAAATTTCTCCAAGTCTGCGGGATCCATATATAAATGCAAAGTGCTATTTGAGTACCATTCAGCGACGAAAATCAGTTCTATATAAAGAAAAAATTAAATTTGAATACGAGTTGATATAAATTATATATATGCACGTATGTACATACATTAGTTCTAGTACTTACGCGAGTACATTGAATAACAGAGATAATACATAATGTGTCTGAAAAGTACAATATTGAAGGGTTTCAACGTCAGATGCAATATCAGCTGCACCAAATTGATCACCAAACCAGATATGAAGAAGGTGACGGCTATGCCTAAATGCACAATCGTTAGCTTCTTGAGCTCCGCTAACGAAATCATGTTTGTTGGTGTTGTAGTTTGCTACAAAGCTAAAAACAAAAATTAAAAATTAACATCTTAAATCTATATCAGAGGAATAATTATATTGCTTAAGTAATATATAACACGCATATATATGTATGTATGTATACATACTATGTGTATGTAAAACAAAGCACAAATTTAATTCCATTTGCCGTTTAGTATTTTTCACACAACTTGGAGAGAACAAAAAAAAATAATAATAATAATGGTCCACTTGCATATATAGTTTTTTTTTTTATTGTTATTTCATATTATAAATGCTGTTGCCTTACTTATTTAATTCCTGATATACGCGGCCTTGCGATCAACACGCAACCGATCACAACAACCGAAGAAGAAAGACTAAAAACTCTCTCCAGACAGGTATCAGCCGAGAATACAACTGATAGCGGGAGCTTTTCAATGAAACCCGACAGTAACTAAACTTGGTATAGAACAGGCGCAACAGTGAACACGCTTTGGTACCTACAAACAGTATGACTTTCCCTCCGATTCATCTGCCATAGCTATAGAATGTACATAAAGTTTCATACATACATATGTATGTGTTTACATGTACCTTTGCACATCTTTAAATAAAAAGAAACAAAAAAAAAAAGGTTATTAACTCGTGGACACGCGGGTTGTGCAATAGATGAGTGTGCTCAGCCACTTTGTGGTGTGAGTGAATGAATATGTAAATTGATTACTAAGTTTTAGAAATGTTTGTAGTAATTTTTGTTTATAAAATATTTTCAGTTTATTAAATTAAAAATTCCCCAATCTCTAATTAAGATTATTTTACTCCTTCCGATTTATTTTCTGGACGCACCCCTGACAGCCTCCGCTATCATACCAAGAATATGGAAGATTTCTAACAAATTCATTAACAATTTAATAATGAAAAAGCATAAATGGGCCTGCAATACTTTTAATCAAAATTTCCGTTTCCGTACAAAAATGGTGAACTAAGTACCCGATTTTTGTTTTCACAAGAAGGAATTTTAGCATACCCAACGCCTTTGATTAACAAAATACTTACATCTACAGGTATATGCGTATAAGTAAATAAAACCATAAATCAAAGTTATTATCGATTGACAAAATCCTCAAACCAAACTTTAATCACTTTTAACAGCACCAACACCTCGCCATCGACGTATTAACTCACAGAACCGCCGTAATAATGTTTTTAAAAAATAACTGTATATGCAGGTATGTATGTATATGTGAGAGTATTACCTATAAATTGAAAACAATAATTTGTTAAATAATCCAATAACAATGCAAAATGCACTGCGCTGCATAAATTCACAAAACCACTACAATTATGCTTCTTCAGCTGCCAGCACAGCTGGCTATTGCCAAAGCAATCAAGCGTTTGCGTCAAAGTTTGACAGTTAAAATGTAATCCTTGCGAGAATGAAAAGAACATGGCTTTTAGTAATGGGCGCGTTTCCTGTCGGTTTTTTCTTTTTAATTTCCTTTTAATTTTAAATCATTTCAATAAATATTATTTTATGCAGTTCGCTGCTTACATTTCTTTATATACATTATGGAAATTGTGGAAAATTTTACCAACAGCTTATGAGTTTTTGTTGTAAATAACACTTGACTGCTTTAAAATTTCACCATCTCACTGATCAAGGTCTATTTGGCGTTGCGTTAATCAGTTATATGCCATAAGATATGTATATAGTTACTTGTCGATATGCATGTGCTATCTCGGATATGAATATACAGTTGCGGACAAAATAATGGTAGTGCTACTGTTAAACATATATAATTTCCTAGCATATGAATTAACGTCGCAGAAAGGATGACAGTCCATCTGCACAGCAGCTTTTGCAAAATGCGCGGTACCACAACTTCACTAATGGTCTCAACCAAAGTGACTGAACCTGTCAAAAGCTTTTAGTACAGTCAATAATTCAGTGCCACTATCGGATATTGAGAAATCCTTATTACCGTCGGGGGTGAAGTCTACGGTCTACCTTAGTGGCCGTCAATTATTAGTAAAATTTCGAGGTCAAACATTGAAAGTCATAAAAATTAAACAAGAGATTCCGCAGGGTGGTATCCTCTCCCCACAGTTGTTTCACTCTTATATCTCGAAACTCCCTCCTCCACCTGATCGCATATACCGATGATTGCTCGATATTGATGCTCGGCCAGGTATTGATGACTTATGTTCGAATGTAAACTGCCATCTGGACGACTTTTCCCACTTCCTTCACTGCAAAGCAACAGAATCCTTGGTTACTCTCTTTACCAGCTGGGCGAAGGAGTACAGGCTCGAATTCGATGTGAAAGTCGTTGCCGTCAAAATTCCGACAATAAACAACCCTAGGTTACTGGGAGTCCCTTTCGACAGCCTACACTCCTTCACTCCGCATAAGACTGTAATTACCACATAACTCCATTGCCTCAACAAAATCCTCAAAGCATTAGCATTAGCATTACCACCAATTGGCCAGCCGGTCGTAAGCTATGCTGCACCGATCTGTGCGCCGGGGACTAACGAGACGCAAAACACCGTCCGCAGAACCGTGACAGGAAACCTTCTTATGTCTCGTCAGACTCGACGATACATGCCTAACGTAAGTCATGCTTGCAACGAGTCTCCTCACTACACTAACCCCCTCCAACTCTTACCTCTGGTCCGAACCCTTCGAAACCGCTTGTTTCCTGGACAGTCCTATTAGTTGCCTTACGATGATCCAGCCTGTTCCTAAACAGGTTTAGCAAACCGTTACTACAACAAACCGTCCAAGTAACTCCGAAGAGAACCCAAAATATCTGTTAAATAATTTATGCATGTTTTTCATTGTATGGAGCCGACCTATATACTGTATTAAGGAAAGCATGGACTCTACGGTGTATGTTCGAACTGCGGAGGAAGCAATGTTGTCTTATGCCCTCGAGGAAATAACTCTACTTTGGGTAATCCAAGAGAATCATGACCAAAAGCATACAAGCAAGTTGGCAGTCAACAGTGGTTTCAGAAAAGTCAAGAAAATGAAATGGAGGGCACAGCGTCCAGATCTCAACCCTACAGAAAGTTGGTGACTTTTTCTTAATATCCGTAAAAGTTGTTCGCTTATTTTGACCGCAGTTGTATGTATGTGTGTCACAGAGCAATTTAATTTCTTCATAAAAGGTATATACATACATATGTAGCCAAATACTTATGAATGTATGTATATATGTAGCGAATGTGCTAAAAATGAATGCTTATTGCTTCTTAAACAGAGAGTAAATAATCGAGTAATAAATGCAGCGTATATACTCGTATTATATAAATACACGCTGCACCCAAAAAGTGCATACTTTTTAACGCTACTGTCCAAGTAACTGAATTCGAGTTAAAAGTTTAAGAGCAGCCGTGTTGAGAAATCGCTAGCAAAATTCCCAAAATAATTGTTGTACGAAATTAATTTATAATTTTTGAATTTTTGAATTTTAGAATTTTCTTTTCATTTCTATACGAAAAATATTCGCTTAATGACTTTATTGAATTTGAAATTTGCATTAAAACAAAGCATTGAGTTTAAAAAAAATGATAAAAGTATTCTTTTAAAATTTTAAATAAATTGTAAATACAGATTTTAGTTGTTTTATTTCATTTATGTATAATATGTTTGCCAATATAAAAAGTATTTCGCATTTGTATTAGGTTTAATACATTTTTTTATACAAAATAATACTACAAAAATTTACTAAATTTTTCAAATCTCACTGTTGTAGTTATTGTTGTTGTTGGTTGTTGTTATAGTGGTTTTCCAACCTCGCTTATAGAAGCCGGCGAGACCAGCCTGAGTCAGCGAATTCATCGAGGAAACGAGCTAAACTCCTGCGGGTTAGGGGTTCAAGAATTCACCCGCAGTAAGGCCTGTCGTAAGAGGTTACTAAAATCCAATAGTTCTCGCGACAGTCGGGTCTTTATACCAGAACGACCCGGATTTTCCTCCGGCCAAGGACTATCACTGCCGGAATATTCCTCAAAAAGTGCTTTGGGGTGCATTTTTGTGGTTACAACAACAACAGCAATAAACGTGCTTTTTCGTCGGGCTCGGATTAGAGGGAAAGATGATTAGATGAGTAAGTGTCATTTGAGCCCATTTTATAAATTGCTCGGAAACTGTTGCCGATTGGTAGCCGTTTTGTAGTAATGACCTTCTCAACAAAATATGTACATATGTAAGTATATGAACGCTTGTCAAGTTCTCTCATCGAAGGTGTAACCAGAAACGTCTTTTGAAATAGCTTCACAGTAGAGTCCTAAGTAATCGCAATGTGTCTACGGAATGTGTTCAACTATTTCATACACATATATATGTATGTATATAGATATATATTTTAAATCGATTACTGCGGTAGATTACATACACCTCACCTCAGCACATTTCTCCGACACTTTTAAATATTTATGCAAAAACAGAAAAATATGAAAAAGTATTATGTTTATAAATCAATGATTATAAAACAATTTTATTATTATTTACTATTTTTCTAGGACATTACAACACTTATTGCTATAATATTTGTCGTATATTTTGCTAGAACCAAAAACCAATACATTACTATATAAAAACTGATACGTACATATATATCTTGCCAATATAATTATTTGTCCACATGTGTACATATATGTATATGTATGCTGAAATGATGTACTAAAGTATTTTTTTTTATAATTTCTTCGAAAGAGATCACACACTACGTGTACATACATTGAACTAAATATTCAATTTTCGTATTTCCATATATGTATATACATATATATTAAACACAAATGGAACGGAAAGGCATTGATCTGGGAGTATTTTCTAGGTTTTAACAATCTATAAAATTACTGTATAATGCTTTTGAATGCAAGAAACTAAATTTCTGGTATTTTAAAAATGTTATTACAATGTTCGTTAAAATAAATCTGTAACATGTTATACTCTGAATATTGCTGTTTTCATAGTGCGCATCGGCAAATTATTGTATTCAAAACTTTGCACAATTTTTATTTATATTTTGTTTTTATAAATCTATTTAATCGAAACAAGAACTTTGATCCTCTTTTTTTATAATGCAATCTGATTAAAATCGCATATAAAATGTCATAAACTTCTCTTGTAGCTGGTTTACAAATCCCTTATGATAAATAGGTGGTTACTGTTGCACTTTTGTATTTATTTAAGAGTAATTTTCTAAAAAATATTATTTCACTATCATCATTATCCGAGTTAAAGGCGTGTAGTTTTTCAAACTAAATCAATTGAATTCTTCTCGTTATTTGGTCGTTAACAATTAAATACAATTATGTAAACACAAAGATCACAATAACAAATTATTAGTTACTTTATATATATTAATGTCTTCACCGTTAAATATTAAAAAAAAAAATTATAATACATTTAACTAGTAGTTGCCTAGGAACATATGCATATACATATAATATTTGTATTATGCACTTTTTTTTACTTTATTTGAGAAATTAAACAAAATTCCTGCAGTAAATACAATCACATCAAGGAGGTTCATCTACATAGAGAAAAGCACTTTATGTACAGGAAAGAAGTTTATAATCTTATCGCTTGTATGAAGCAGCTGTTTTAGCTTTGCCTGTGCGTATTGATAAATTACAATCACACTGATAATTAGTGAAAAATTTAACACGAACAATAATTAAGATTGGGATTTGATATGATTTGGTTAGTAATTAAACGTTCGAGGCAAATGTTGTCATAATGCTAATTATTATTCAAAGTGAGAAATTTTAAAATAAATAAAATTAACATATACAAATGACAGCGAAAATGTAGAATACAAATTTTTTTTAATTAAAAATATAAAAATTAATTTAAAAAAATTATTTAAGAAAATAAAAAATTATTAATTAATATACAAATAACATAGAAAATACTAAACAAAAATTAAATCCCTAAAAAATTTAATTACAATTAATTTAAAAAAAAATTAAAAAAAAATTATTTAATATAAGAAATTAAATAAAAATTATTTATAGAAATAAAAAATGATTAATAAATATACAAATAGCAGTGAAAATGTAAAATAAAAAATTAATTAATTAAAAAAATAAAATAACAATCAATTTTAAAAAATAAAAAAACGAAATCATTTTTTTATAATAAAATGGAAAATGAAATAAAAATTTATTTAAAAAATGATTTAAGAAAATACAAAATTATTAACTAGTATACAAATAACAGAGAAAACGCGAAACAAAAATTAAATTATTAAAAAAAAATAACAATTTATTAAAAAATAAAAATAAAAAATCATTAAATAAATGAAAAAATTAGATAAAAAATTAAATAAAAATCATTAAAGGAAATACAAAATCATTAATTAATATACAAATAACAGTGAAAACCCAAAATTAAAAATTTATTAATAAAAAAATAAAATAGCAATCAATTTTAAAAATTAAAAAAACGAAATAATTTTTTTATAATAAAATGGAAAATGAAATAAAAATTTATTTAAAAAATGATTTAAGAAAATACAAAATTATTAACTAGTATACAAATAACAGAGAAAACGCGAAACAAAAAATTAAACTATTAAAAAAAAAAACCAATTTATTAAAAAAAAATAAAAATAAAAATTTATTTAATAAAATAAAAAAACTGAGTAGAAACTTATTAAAAAAAATATTTAAGAAAATTAAAATGATTGAATAATAAACAAACGACAGGGAAAATATGAAATAAAAATTAATTAGTTAAGCAAATCAAATAACAATTAGTTTAAAAAAATAAAAAACAAAAATTAATATAAATTTATAAAAATTAAAATTATTTAAGAAAATAAAAAATGATTAACATACAAATAACAGTGAAAATGCCAAATAAAAAATTGAATTACAAATATACAATATAAAATAAAAATTAATTAAAAAAATTAAAATTCAAGAAAATAAAAATTTATCTCAAAACATAAAAACTTGTTAATTAATACACAAATAACTACTATTTAAAAAATATTTATTATTTAAAAAAATAAAAAAAAAACAAATAATTTAACAAAAAATTAAAATTAAATTAATTTGAAAAAAAATATAGAAACAAAAATATATATTTAAAAAAAAATAATAATTAAAAAATATAAAGAAATAATTTAGAAAAGTTTAAAGCTTAATTAACTCAAAAAATAAATAAACTATTAAAAGAAAATAATCATATTAAACAATTAATTGAGAAAGTAAAAATAATTTAATTAAAAAAATTATATACAAATAACATGAAAACGCAAAAAAAATATTAATTAGTTGAAAATAATAAACAACTGATTAATTAAAAAGAAACAAAAGAATTTTTTTTTAAATTATTAATTTAAAAAAATAAGAAACTAATTATTTAATAAAAAAAAATAAAAAATTAATTAATTTAAAAAAAAATGAAGTATAAGTTATTTAGTTTAAAAAAAAACATTGATAAATTCAAGAAAAAATTAATTAGAAAATAGAAAAAGCATGAGCCAAAATTTTTTAAACTAAAAAGCAAATAATATACGTATCTAAAAATTTGAAATAAAAATTTAAAACAAAAAAATTAATAAAAAAGCAAAAGTACATTTAAAAAAATAAAAAATCAGCAATTTTCTGGCATAAAAACTATATGCATTAAGTTTATTTATTTATTTCAAATTTAGTTAGCATAAATTTCCTCCGTCCTATTTCAAGTCAATTTCAAATAATATTACACATTTATAAGACCTAAGGAAGTTGTTCGTAATACTCTTACAATGATATAATTTATATACTAATTATCTTAAATATTATTAGGTGGTTGTATTGTTCCTTTGTGCCACTTCACTATAGTATAACAGTTTAAAAATTATATAATTTTCATTCAGTAAAAAATAAAACATATTATCACTGCCATTGTATTTAACTTCAATTGGACATTTTATCGTTTTTTATTTTCTTCAAAATCATTTCTATAATCTGAGACTTTGATATTTATGTATATTTTAGCAAATATAATCTTTATATATTTTAGCAAATGTACTTGCATGGGCATATGTATATATCAAATACACAAAAAAAGTTTGCGCGTTTTTTTTTTTCTTCATAAAAAACCTCCAACTTTTGAATTTTATATCTATGACTGTAGAAAGCTACAATCTTGTCGCTTGTACGCTTTACTTATAAACTACGCATGTGCGCATTGATAAAAATTTGTTATGGATGCTCGCTCGCTCGCCCACTGAATTTTTTGCGCTCAATCAAATTTCGCCTGAACGTTGAAACGTTAATTTGATTTTAAGTGGTTCTGCGTTTCAGAACCATAGGAAGATGCTTTACTGATTTTTGACATATTTATTGATTTCACCATCATGATGTAAACTAAAAGAGATAAATAGAAAGTGGATAGTGCATACATTTTTAGGAAATTAAAAATATTTTTTGTTGTGCACTCACTTGCTAAAAGTATGCCGATCGCAACAGAGAGACCAATCCAATTTTGTGACAAAAATGAGGATACCAAATAATAGAGTATTAACGATATCGTGAATACCGCCCATAGCGCAAAATTGATTAAATTGTATGGCCGATATTTAAAGTGATTTACAGGCACCTCCTTAAATCCAGAGGTTTCGAAGAAACTGCCTGTTGTATGGAAGCTATCGATAATGCGATCCTTTTCGCGGAATAAATTTTGTAGCCACTCAGCAGCAGCTGTTTCGTCCTCAGGTACAACTTCAAGTGGTATACGACGAATGAACATAAAACCTTCTACTGGCAAGCCATTTAAAATGGTAGAAATAGTCGGTGGGTTCTACAAATGCATAAAATTCAAGCATTATAAATAATAATTACAAGTATATATGTAAGTAGGTGATGAATCTTTAATTTGCTGCCACACAAACCCACCTTTGCATCCTTCTTAAAGGCCAAACTAACATCGTAGATGGCTGGACAGCGACCACGCAATGTTGGCAGACTAGCGGTGAAGCCTTTTGTACGTGGAATTAAGTGATGTTTCAAAACAGTCATGCCACGCTCTTGTGCGAATTTAACGGAAGCCTCATGTTTTTTCGGTGTGAAACGTGTGCCTTCGGCATTTAACAACAACCATGTGGGATCGGGATAGGCAAACACTTCTTTGAGTTGACGTGCAATAATTTCCTTATCTTTATCGTATGAACGTTCCAAAAAGACAAATTCAGCGAAATACCATGCCCAACCAATGGCGGGCACATATGATATGGCTTTTTTGGCATACGCTTTGCAATTGCCCAGAACGCCATTCTTTTCGGTAAACATCCAACCGGCCAACCAATCAATTTCGTATGCATGATTCATTATAAGCAAACAATGCTCTTTGCCACTGAAATTTTTCAAGTCATCTGCATCCATATAAACATGTATTTTACTATTCGAATACCACTCAGCAACAAATAATAGTTCTAAAATGGAAAAGAAGGTTGAGTAAAGCAACTTACACACATGATTATACTATATTGTAAGTATGTAGCTATGTACTTACGTGAGTTTAACGAATAGCAAAGATAATACATTATACGTCTAAATAAGACAACATTGAAGGGTTTCAATGTTAAATGCAATATTAGTTGAACCAGATTGATCACCAGACCAGATATGAAGAAGGTGATGGCTATGCATAAGTGTGTCAGTCTTAACTTTTTGAGTGCCGCAAGTGAAGACATGATTGCCCTTTTTTGCTGCTAAATATGTTTTGTTGTAAATTTAATTCCTCTGTGAAAGAGATAGGAAAAATATATACACACATATATACGAGTATTTAGATGGAGAAATACAATTTTTCCGAAAGTTTGAAATCAATATATGCACATTTTAAATATATTTAATTTTTTTGATTTTTTGAATTTGCCACATTTTTGCACATATGTAGGTATGTACATTAACTCAATTGCACTTTCTTAATTTTTAATTTTACGTTAGTAACAAGCTTACCCACCAACACTGCAATTTAAACTGATGTATTTAGAAACCTTTAGACTGTATAATTGTTAAATTTATTGAAGCGCCCTATTTTTTTTTTTTTTTTTTTTAAATCAATAGGAAAGCAAAAAGATATTAATCGATTGAGCGTTATACATCATCTAAATACAAAGTCGACACTTTTCAAGTATAGCAGCAGTAAAAACAGTAATAACTCTTATCTAGCAATTATTTTTGTTTTTATATCAACATATTTACATACATATGTGTATTCCTTAATATACGATCGTAATTTGTATATAAATTAAAATATGTATATACCTATGTGAAGTGGAGCGATAATGTCGATTATCGGTTAATTGAAACTTTCTGATGACGCCGCCAAATTTCTCACGCGAATTAATAATCATTATTTTCGAATTATGATTGCTACAATTATTATTGAGCTAAGCAAAGTCTAAATTTTAAATTTGAGCTAAAAAAAAAGTTGTTCAAGCAAAAACCAATGATGCGATAATTTTGCATTTGTATTTGAGAACCAAATTCATCATTTTATGTTCTACTTAATGCAATTTCATATGTTAAATAAATATTTTCCACTTTAAGTTTCCTCTTCCTTGTATAATATATAGATGTATACCTATTATCGCCCGTTCAATGGAAATATTCTATTTTGAAATTCTAAATACGCTCATTTTCTTTCAATAATGTCTGTAGTATTGCACGTACGTGCCAAAAGCACGCCAGCTATGTCATTAAACGAGCCCAATTTTTCCTCAATTAACTTTTAACACAGAATTTTTGAATCGTTTAAGTTTTTAGTATCGCACGCAACTTACATAAAAATCACTCATAAATGATATAAAAAAACATGTTAAATACAATAAAAGGAACAACTTGTTGATTTTTTGGCGTTCAATGTGCTCACCGTATCAAAGATCAACACCTAAGAAAGCCCAAACAATTGATCTCAAAGTACATGAACACACTACCCTATTATAAATCACGTTCTTATATACATACCTACATACATACATATGTGTATACATACTTAAGCAAAGTATGTAAATGTACATAAATGTACTATTTTCGCGAAAAGAAAAAAATTTTTGCAAAATACTAAATGTAAAATAACACACATGTCCAAATGTTTCTGTACTACATGCCAACCATGCACGAATATATGTGTATGGTGATGCAATTGCTTAAACAGTTTGTGCATAGAAACGAAACTTGCACATATTTTTCCTTTTGCACTACGATTTTATTCGATTCGATTCTATAGATATCTGAATTTTAAATTGATGTTTAGATGCCTACCAGTCAATTTTTTTAATCGGAAGATCGTGAGCGGCATAAGTCATTATATAATTTGGCATATTTTCTAGGTATTTTTAGAAAAGCAAATTATTTATAAGATTTACACGCAAAACTAAGAATTTCCTGGCTTATGTTAAATACTTTAAATTTCCTTTGTGGCTGCACATACAAAAAACAACAATTTAAACACTGTTTTAATTGTACAAATATTTACAAATACATTTACGTACAATGCACTGTGCAAATAAAAAAGCGATTATAATAAACACACAAACAATTTCACTTTATATGTGAATGGTTTTAATATGATAATTGAAATAGGAATTGTTGCTATTTAATTTTAATAGCTTTGATAATGCGCTCAGTCAATGTATTATGGTTTGTTTACAAAGGGGGGTCTTTATACGACATCTTGACCCTTGTATTTTTTGATCAATTAATGAGTTATAAGTTTAAAAAGAAAACATTTTACGATAGTTTTCTCTACCAATGCTACGTCATTATTAAATAACATTGTTAATGACAAAACTTGAATTCATTACCTAATTTCTGACGAAGATGTAAGTGGATATTTTTAAAGCAGCTCTGTACATTCATAAAATGTGTAGGTAGGTACATATTAGTTTACTTAGTTTCTTTAATAGACAAACAAATTATGTATAAATTTGAATATGTTTTATGGCATACAATTATTAAAAGAAGTAAATAAAGGTTTATCTCTCAGAAATTTATTTATTACCTGCCATCCACGTAATATCTAGAACATGTATCACGCAACTAGTGTGAAAAACAACTATCGCACTACGCACTTTATAAACTATCTAATCCAGTTAACTTACTCGGTTATTGTAAACGAAATACAGAAATGTTGCAAGTTTTGTATATATGTTCAGTTATAATTTTTGATATACCTTTTTTGTCCAATATAAAAGTATCAAAATAAAATTCCTTAATTTAAAAATTTCGCTCAAGTCTGAAATTACTAATATCCACCGTAAACACAAATCGCTGAGATAAAATGTCAATTGTCATATGGTCTCATCGCTAGTGTTGCCATTTTCTTGGGTTCAACAATTAACCCGTTAAGTTTGATGTTTAAACTAAATCATTTTCAAATTACATTGTACAAAAAAAAACAGTACAATCATTTCCCTCAATTATTTTCACACTCAATAAAATTTTTATATACAAAAAACTAAGGAATTATATAAAACCCCTATTTCAATAAAGACTCATGCCATTGAATATATTTCTATTAAATTGATTTTTAAACAAAATCTAAATATAGGTTATTTTATATAAATATATATAATATATCTGATTTGTAAAGTATTCCAATATATGAGGAAATCTACAATTTGTTTTAAGCCTGTTCCGATCATGGTCCGAAATGATCTACGGGAGCTGACATTCCCTGCTAAGGGAACACTACAAAAGTTAATTTATGCTATAGATATTGCCTATATCAAAATCTTTAAATTGCATGAAAATAAATAAAGGCAACAAATGGGAACACAAATCAGCAAATGGTCGACCGGCTCAAAGAAATTAGAGATGGCTAAAGCATATTAGTAGAGTTACGTGAATTCATCTCGGACCTCAAATCCAATCTGCGACGTAGAACCTTTATTTACCGTCGACTTAAGTGACGCCTGACGTTCTCTGACAAATTGGAGCGAGCTCAAATTTTGGGCTCAAACCAACATAACGAAAAGACAATATAGTATGTAAAGCGGAAGAAAAAAATTGATTCGAAAAGAATTTTATAGCGCAGCAAAACTCTCGGTGTTGCTTATCAATTGGCTAAGAGGCAAAAAATAATGATACACGGGAACTTAGCTTATTCACAGACGTTCGACGGCGTTATTTTATTATCGTAGTACGGCATCGTAGTGCTGCCAATTTCATTAATTTAAAAAGTCATTTGACAGCTCTAGCAGAAAAACAATTCTAAGTTTTCTGAAAACACTAATCAATAGGCGAATGTAAATTTGTTATCAGATGCCGCAAAAGTTCATTGATAATTCTTAATAACGTTAAATACACATTAGCGGATAAACTTTTTGAGTAGTTTGGACCTTAATCCTAGTTAGTAAGTGGAGTACATCCAAAGGTCAATTGCCAACAAAATTAAACAAATCAACTTAAATAAAAGGGAAAAAATAAACAAATAAAATTGTTTGTTCAGGGCTTACAAAAAGTTTTGCATCAATTATGCGACTTGCAATTGTTCCTTCCAAAGAAGAAGAATTTTCATGTATGTAGCATTGAAGATTTTTGTCTGTACTCGAGGCTTAACACCTGCACAATTGCCGCACGCATAAATCAAAGTTCAAAATCCTATAATCACTGTACTGTAGCACTTAACTTCTCGGGCTTTTGATGCACAGTCAAATTAACTATGCTTATTATAATGGTTAATGTTGTTATATAATTGTAAATCTTAAGTCTCTAACAGTTTTATTTAAATTGTAAAACCATAGGCCTTAATAAGCAAAGGATGGATTTTAAAGAGGACTCGAGCCGGCGTTATCGGCATGCCGGTGATTTAACGGGCGAACCACCAACTCGTGAGGTAAATATTAATGAATTAATAAAAGCTTATCCTACTTACTACAGTGTACTTCAAGTTTTCGGAAATTACAATACCTGTTCCATGGGGTCATTTATCCGGTAAATGGTATGGCCCGCAAGATGTTCAACCCATACTCGGCCTGCATGGTTGGCAAGATAATGCAGGAACATTTGATTTGCTTGTGCCACTCTTATCACCGGACGTGGCTTTTCTTTCTATAGACTTACCCGGTCATGGGCTCTCTTCTCGTTTGCCAGATGGTTGTTACTACAACGTTACCGACAACCTATACGTGATATTAATTATAATGAAGCAATATAAGTGGTCAAAAGTTTCTATTGTCGGCCATTCTATGAGTTCAATCATTGGATTCGTGTTCGCTGCAATTTTTCCTGACAAAGTCAATATGGTGATCGGTTTAGATGCATTGAAACCACACCAAAGACCGCCCACCAACACAATACGTACAATGGAAACGAGAATGGATGAATTTTTGAAAGAGGATGAACGTAACCAATCGAAAGAAGAACCGCCAAGCTATTCATATGAAGAACTTATTGAAAGAATTTTCATTGGCACATTCCATTCCATTAATAAAGACCTCTGTAAACATATGCTGGCACGTAACATCAAAAAATCGGAAAAATATCCAGAAAAATATTTTTTTAGCCGTGATCGTCGCTTGAAGTTTTACAATTATATGGTTGGTTCACAGGAACTTTGCATCGAAATGGCTAAACGTATAGAGTGCCCTTATTTGTTTGTTAAGGCGCGACAATCCAGTTATTTCGAAGATAAAAAGTATTATGATGAAGTACTAGCAATCTTGCAAAGCAAGTCGAATTTTGAATACTTAGAGGTTGCTGGTTCACATCACGTCCACATGAATAACCCGGAACGCATTAGTAGTCATATTAATGACTTCTTAAAACGTTTTGGTCCAGTGTCTAAGCGCAGTTCGAGCAAATTGTGAACTAAAATTATATACATTTACATTTTTATTATCTTTTAATAGTCGGACGTTGATATAAATAGCGCAATTTATATGTGTATATATGTATATGTAATACATACTGTACACGTTTCTGTAATTACTTGTAAATAGCAAAGGTTAAGTGAACAAAAATCAATACAATGTCAAGCATTTCCCAATTTAAATATTAAATTATAGCTCACATGATTAGAAAAAAACTTTTTTATTCCTTTTTCTTGCAAATGGAACAACAGTGATTTCCAATCCGCTTCCGAACTACTGTTGGAATTTTAAAGAAAAGAAAGAAATCGCTTTCCCATGAAAAACACACTCATATCGCCGCATACATTAAAGGATTTTATACAATTCCTAAGTACTGTTCGAAACAAAATTTGTATTCAGAACCTCCACTCGTAGCAACCACAGTTTTTGCCGGCTACTTTGACCCCAATAATAAAAATGAAACTCAATTCCTTATACTGAAAGCCACCACGGTTCTCACACCTGTTGTTGTTGTTGTTGTTGTAACCGCAAAATTATTCCCTAAAGAACTTTTTGGGGAATGTTGCGGGAGTGACAGTCCTTGGCCGGATAAAAATCCGCGTCGTTCCGGTATAAAGACCCGACTGTCGCCGGAACTATTGGATTTTAGTCGCCTGCTTTACCGCGGGTAAATTCTTGAGCCCCTAACCCGCAGGAGTTTTTTTTTTTGATATTGTTAGGTGTGTTAACGAAAGCATCCCTCTCCAACAGCTCTATACCCACTAAAACGAACTCATCCAACACGTTCTCTCTCTCGTGGGTACCATTTTGTTTTTTGGGTCTCCAGTTCGATGACTTCGATGACAGACTGATTTTAACTGCTTCTACGAATGTTTGAGCTAGCTGTACAACACCTGTTTCAAACCCGTAGATCCATTTAGTGATCGCCAGTCACTTCTTGGATTTTTTTGCACTACCAACCAACTCTTTTTAAACTGTTCTTACTAAAAAGCTTGGCTCTTTTTCTTTGCCACCGTTTTCACCGTATGGTTGTCCATATCCATCGTTTGCAGTACACTCCGATTGCAATGGGTATATAGCCTTAAATCTTCTACAAAATTTTTCTCTCCAAAACACCCAAAGCCATATAACAGGACGGGCATGTTGTGCGGCTTGTAGAGTTTAGTTTGTCTTCATTTAGAGAAGATTTTACTACAGAGTTTAAAGCGGCTTCTGTAGGTAAGAGTGATTCTGCTTTGGATTTCAAGGCTGGCATTGCTATTGGTGTTAATATTTGGTCTTGTCCTCGTCCACTATCAAACCCTTACGCCAGCAGCTTTGCTCACTTTTGAAGATTGCACAGTCTCCAATTAGCTCTGCAGCTGGCATTATTTCTCAAGCAATAAAGTAAAGAAGTCATATGATAAGGAATCACCTTGTCTGAAACCTCATATGCTATCCCCTTCCGATCATGAAGAAGCTTTTGGTGCTAGTTACCACCAGTTTACACAGCCGAATAAGTGTCTCATGTCTTCCTTTTGCCGTCTTCATAGAAGTAAAGATCAATCACACCACTGGACCAAGTAGCGCTCCAAAAGGTAAGGTTTTCTTGGACGATGATGTCCAAACCTTAAGATATCGGCCACCGATCGGGTCTCTTTAACTTTTAGAAATCACGAAGCGGATAACCCTATATCTTCAAATACGGTCGTCCCTCGGCAGGGAATGTCAAACCAACCAGAGTGTGTTTTTGACATGAAACAAAAGTTTCTCACAGAAATCCAATAGGTTTTCGGAGGCTGCTTAGAATAAAAAATATGTTCTTCTATTTGTTGGGAAAAACTCGGCGGTTATTTGTATGTATATAGTTACAAATGAAAGAAAAGGTCTACATATAATGGATACATATGTATGTACATATTTACGAGGGGCGGCCGACATTTTCGCGACCTAAATTACTTATTGAAACTAATGTATAATTTTATAATTTTATTTAATTTATAATATAGTCCCCCTCAAGTGAAATACACTTCTCACATCCTGAATACAATGGCTTCATACTACTGAAAAAATATTCTTTAGATTTCACGCTTTCCCAACTCACCGTCGTCTGTAAAACTTCGTCCCCGTAACTCCTTTTTAAAATTTGAAAAAAGGAGAAAGTCACTGGGAGCCAGGCTCGGACTGTAGGGTGGATGGTCGATTTCCCGACCACCCTAGCAGTGTGATCGGGTGCGTTGTCTTGAAGAAACAGTACTCCGCGCCTTAACCTGCCATGTCTCTTCTGTACGACTGCCTCCCGCGCCTGACTCAACGAATCGGCGTAATACTGGCCGTTCATCGTAGTTCCTTTTGGCGAGTAATCAATTAGTAATATTCCCTCGCTATCACAGAAAATGTGAGCCATAATCCTCGACGCCGACTTTTACATTTTGATTCTTTTTTTTTAGCGGCATTTTACGTTTTTTTATCCGCTGCATCGACTCCTGTTTGGACTCGGGATCATACTGGCGAATTCAAGTGTCTTCTTTGCTTATCAGTAATCTATCTGATATATATGGTATATATATATATATATATATATATATATATCATTGGCGCTCGGTAACGTGGTTTTCGGACGAGCTTCTCCTACAATTTGTGATTTTGCGGTTTAACGTTTTACCAACAAATGGAGGGACCTACAGTCTATACTAAGCGGCCTCCGAACGGCTGATCATTTTTTTACGAGGAGTCTTAATTTTTTTTGTCCGAAATACACTCGGATGGGTGGACGTTCCCTGCCACAATTAAAAAATTTACCTTAATTTCATATTTAATCTAATTTTCCATAACTTTTTGGATGTTAGTACGATATCAGGACTTGAAACCGAGTCTTCCGAATGGCAGTACGCAATGCTAACCCCTCGGGTATCGCGGCTGTTTCTGCTATCTGCCGTAATTTAATTCTTCGACAGCCATTACAAATTTTTTGACTTTCTGGACATTTTCTTCGGTCCCGATCGTCGCTGGCCCATTCCCCCAGGCCTCTCTTACTTATTGAACCGGCCGAGCTCTTATTTCATCATCGTATGAGAAAGGGACAGCGTCCTGAAGAACCGATGACATCTCTTTAAAAATCTCTTTCGGCATACTTCCGTTTTTACAAGGAATTTTATCACAGCGCGATGCTCCGAATTGCGAGAATTTCCAGTTTCCGTTCATAAAGTGTTGTTGCTTATTCCAGGAACGAAATGTTAATGAAGCTAATAAGTAAAAGTTGTGTTATTTATAATAATAATGAGTAAGTATAATCAGTAACGAGATGATGTGTCATCTCCAACCACCACAGGTCGCCAACTTATCAGCAGTCCCTCGTAAGTATGTACACATATGTACATGTACACGTATGTGGCAATATAATTTATGCAACTTGACATGGAAGGCATCAAAGAAGCACAAGTCCGAAACAGGTGTGATGTAAATAATTCGCGAATATTTTTTTTTTTGCAAAAAAAAAAACAAACATATATTCATACATGCATACATACATGCATACATACATACATACATATGTAAATCAATTGGATTTTTCAAGCAACTCTCAGTCAAGGCCATCACGTTGAAATCATTTATTTGAAACTATATAGTGTAACTAAGTGATTAATAATGAAATTAATCGTATTGAAAATAATCAAAAGAATGCGGTTTATTTACGCCGAACGGTGAACTCATCAATTTATTGGAAAATACAATAGCAACAACTCACATTCAAGAAGAGCCAATAAATATGTATAAAATATATACATACATATCTATATACATATATATTAATGAATATTCAAACACGTAATGATAGAAAGATTATTAAATTAATAATTTTTTTTTTTTTTACCGCTAAACTTAAAGTTTGTAAAAACATGCGCCAACGATGATCATTTAATGATATACTCATATCGGGTATTGATCATAACCGAAACTCGAGTAGTTAATTTAAACTGTCATTAATTATGAACAACAGTTAGTTTCTTACGTTCATTAATAAATTTATTTGTATGTATGAGTATGAGTATGTGTATGAGTTTTTTTTTTGCTGTTTCAGCCTGCCAAATATGGAAGAGAGTGAGCAGCAAGTTTTTGATTAACATTAATCGACATTAAACGCCGGTTGTCATTGAATTCCATTCTCGTCGTCGATGCCTCCGCCAAAATTACCGGAAATGCATCTTATTTACTATACGTACAAATATCTTTATAACGAGTCCGAAAGACTTTTAAAATTATGGAAAAGTAATTTTTCTTATTGTATTATTGTCGCTCACCAGCAGGGAACATCAACAACTCTAAGATGAAGTAAAAAGTTTCTCATAAAAACTCATCAGCAGTTCGCAGGCCGCTTAGTATAAACTGTAGGTCACTCCAATGGTTGGGAAGGCATTAAGACGCATAGCACAAATTGGAGGAGGAGCCCAGCCGAAAATCAGTTTAGTGATTACAAAGCGCCACATTATTACTATTATTATTATTATTATTATTATTATTATTATTATTATTATTATTATTATTATTATTATTATTATTATTATTATTATTATTATTATTATTATTATTATTATTATTATTATTATTATTATTATTATTATTATTATTATTATTATTATTATTATTATTTTTATTATATTATTATTATTACACATAATAGAATTGATAAGGTATCCATCAGCTACTGTGCGAATGAAAGCATGCCCGACGGTTGGAATCTGAGTGTGCCCAGCCCAATCCATAAAAATGGTAACTGTGCCAATTACCGTGGGATTAGCCTCTTATGTATCACATATAAGTTCCCGTCAACAAACTGGTTAGAGCTCAGCGGCTTTGACATGATAAATCTACTATTAACAACATACGCCAAATCTTGCAAAAGAATCCTGAAAAAAGAATCCTTTTTTAAAACTGCCATCAACAGCACAGTAAAGAGCTACCTCTATGTCGCATTGTCTGAATTTGGTATCCCTCAAAACTTCTACGGCTGTGTAAACTGACGCTGGACAACATCAGAGGTGCAAACAGAATTAGGAGGGACCTCTCCGAGCCATTAGGTACAAGCGAAGTTTCTGACAGGGTGACTCTTTAAGATAGCTACAGGCTTGAATAGAGAAGATACAATACAATCTCTATAAGAGTTTATAACTGCTGTCGTATACCAATGTTATTGATATTGTATTATAAGCCTTAACAACCGTGCCGTCAA